TCTAAAATCATATATGTTTAAATTTATTACTAGACACTGTTATGTAAACATTAATACTATATTTTTTCATATGGCTTGTTTCAATATTCAATACTATTATTACACAGGTGACTAGAATAATTGGTAGACTACCAAATACTAACAAGAAAACCTCGCGAGGTGATCACCGTTGATTTAGTTTAGGTTTCTATATAATCATCTACGCTGGAAATGATAAACCATTTTTTTTTCTTTTGGCGGAAAATGTTTTGAAGGGGTAAAAATCACCCCTAAAATTGAAATCCTATGAAGGTGATTTTTAATTTTTACATATTTCTAATCGAAATTTTCCGATACGATCTTATACGTTAACAACAACATAAAAAATCTTGAAAAATACAATTATTTACATATTTATAAAACTTGCGGATATACATTTTTTTTATTAAAAACAACAAAAAATCGGTACCTCAAAAACTATTAATTATTCTTTAATGAGACCAATTTCAATCGAAAGAGCATAAAAAATTACGAAATACGTGTCTTTGCAATGCTTAAAATAATATCAAAATCGATGCCAAGAAAACTATTCTTTTTTTCGAAAAAATCCATAACAAAAAATCTATAACTCAAAAACTAAAAATTATTTTTTGATAGAACTAATTTTTATCAGAAGAGTATAAAAATTTACAGGATACGTGTCTGTGCAATTCTGAAAATGCCAAGAAAAATATTCCCGTTTCTCCTAGGTTTACACATTTGTGTTATTTACTATTTAAATAGCACTACGTAATTATAATAAAAATAGAATAAATAATTTGATGAGAAAAAATTGATGTAAAGTAATAAGATGGAAAAAAAATTGTTTTAAATAAAGTTTAATTTATTATTAAAAATTATTTTATACTTACTTTTTAAATTAAACAAATTTTACGCTTGAATTGTTTTATTTATTTACTATTTAAATAGCCGTATCTAATTTTAATAACTTCAACTAAATTCAAAATCTTCGTAAACAATTTGTAGAGAGTATTTAGACATGCAATGGCCTGTATTTTTTGGAATTAGACAGATCACCACTTTTGGGGATCAGCACAGTACGCCCTTCAACGAGCCATCCAGGAATGGGTGTATCTCCTCCTAGATATTCTGAGAAGATACGAGCCAGATGCTGGTGGAATGATGTCAATTTCTTCCACCGAAAGGTAGGGATTGCATCTGGCCCAGGGGCAGCCCAGTTCTTTGTGCCCCTTAGCGCATTCCTGATCTCATCAATGCTGACTCGTTGAAACTCTTCAGGAATTCGTGATAGGTATTCGTCACAGAATTCTCTGAAAAGTTGAAGGGCTGGAGTGTCTACATCTAGCGCACTAGTGCGACCATATATTTCGGTCCAGTAGGTTTCGACTCTTTCTGCATTTGGCGGCTCATAAGTGACAGGGGCTTGCGGCTTAAGAAAGCGCGAAGGGTCAGATTGGAACAATCTGTTGTCCCTTCGCCGCTTGAACCGCTTTGCTAATGACTTTTTAATGACCATTAGCGATCTTATTTGCCTGTGTACCTTTTCTCTAGGATCAGTAACACGGCCGTATTCAAAGTGTGATGTTCACGTCTAATACTTGCCACGATACGCCGAATTCTTGGCGTATAAGGCCTGTGAATATTTAAGTGATCCATCACACTTTGGATACGAGATGCACCCTGTTGAGCCTTTTTGATGTCATTTGCAGTCTGTTCGATGCGTCTTTTCAGGCTTAACTCAGGATTGACAGGTGTTTGTCTGCCCTGAGTAAACCCTCGTGCCACAGATGGGGGTTCTGCAGTGAGAGAAGGGCGGAACGTGAGTATGCTCCACCTTGGTGCGGCTGTCTCGGGTGTCAGTGAGACTTCGTCCTTGTTAGGGCCTGATAATATCCATAGAGTATTGTTATAAATAACTCGATGAGATTAAACAATCGTATACTGTTTATAACAATAAGTATTTTTTGTAAATAAAAAAACTAAATGTTCTGACGTTGAATCGGCTGACTGAGAAGTCGGGAATTTGTAGACTGTATTTTTTAGGATATTTGGATGCTAGAACCGTCAGGACTTTTGAACGATGTAAATGAATCGGCTGTCACTATTTAACAGTAACAGTTAACGATTTATTAAACACTAAAGTAACAGCAACAGACAAATAACGATAAGAGAGTCTTTGAATTGTCTGTACAATGTTGAGTTCACTGAAATTTCACTTAGAGAGTTCACGGATGAATAGAGATCACGGGAAAGTTGTAAGTTTTCTTGTACTGGTCTCTGCACCAGGAGTAGTCTGATTTTTTTTGAGTAGTCTGAGTTTCATTGTGTTGGCATCAGTCACATAGACACAAGCGAGTTGTTCTTATGGATCTAGTGTGTGTGACTGTCTGCATCTTTACAAATAGTAAATCAAATATACTATCATCACTATTAGTCTAGCCAAGTTAGACCCGAAATGGCTTTAAAGTTACAAATATTTTGAATTGAAATTTTTGTTTTTTATAAAATTATTAATAATGAAGTTTGCGAACGAAAAGTATTCTACCATTTTTTGAAATGTCGTGAACTCTAAAAGTTAGAAAAAATTAGGGTGCTGAAGGCCCGACACTTAGCGCGAGAGAGACAGCGTATCGGACGCCCTCTTCGCACTCATTGAGAGATTTGAAGCACAATAAACGTGCTTAAAGAAATCGTAATATAAACGAAACTCATAAAATGGGAAGACCGGGTTCTGTTCATATACTGAAAATGAACAAAAGAGAAGCTGACGTCACAAGGTCAGCATTCTTGAAATATGAAATTGAAAGAAAGTTAACTTTCAAACCCGAAGTGGTAATTTGATTTTGAGTCGATTAAAAATATAATTGTTTTTTTTTGCAAGACATTTCGTTCTCAAATTTCATTAATAATCATTTTATATAAAAAAAAATTTCAATTCAAAATATTCTAGTTTAAGAATCGATGATACTTTTCATAGTTTTTATTAGCTTCAGAATTGGATTGAAAGCGATAATTTAACCGTAATTGAAGCTTTATAGCTAATGTTCTACAAATATTCATACGATTCAAAGATACATGAGCAGTAATTTTGAAATCTCTATTTTGACTTTTGCATCTCATTGTGCATATTTCTCATTAATCAAAGATTCTAGATAATCGCACAAGTCCTCATGAACAACACTTGATGTAACAATATTTATAATATCTTTCAACAAAATACATAGTTTTCATTGAAGATTTTCACGTCGAATAAAATCCCCAGTTATCACACTAATATTACGAACAAAACACAATGCTCCAACAGCAGACATTTTGACATATTTTTCTCTGATATTAATAAATTTTATTTCACAAGGCTCATAAGGAAACACATCATCACCATAAAATAAACTTCTAATTTTATTATTCAAATCAGTTATTGAAAAAAATTATTTACTGTAAGAAAAGCGATTCAAAATTAAACCAATATCTAATATTTTTTGTATCTTTAAATATTCCTGATAAGAGAATGTGTCTTCAAATATGCCTGACAATTCAAAAATTTTTTAAAAACTTCTTTTGAAGCAACAGTTTGTACGCTTATATTTTTCTTTATTAAAAGTACTTGGTTGTTTACTTTCTTATAAATTTCTTTAGACCCAACTACAATTTCTTTTAGTGCTATATGAGATTTGGCATTTCAAAAAATTTGAAACACCGCCATTCTAAATCAAAATCATCAAAAGGATTGTGTAGCGTATTTATCATTATTTTTAACGCTTGCATATTATCTAAAGGTTCACCAAGTACTTTTAATCTGTTCAAAATATAAGTAAATACTGATGTGATTGAATTATTATTGAGCAAAGTAGTGAAACTATTTTTAAATCAGGGCAATTATATAATTTGCTGATAACAAGGCGGCTGCTGCTTGCACCTTAAGTGAAAATAATTGAGGATCCATTACTTGCAACTGATAAAATATCGGAAAGAAAGTTGAATATAAATAGCTTATATCGTTATTAATAACAACTTAATCTATATTTAGACTGCGTGAATCTTTTGATTGCGTTGAAACTTTTATTCGATCGTTGTTTTTAATGTTTCTTCAATAGATGTAAGAGCTTTGTTCAGCTGAACACTCGACTTCTCAGTAGGCAAGGTGATTCTGTAGCAAAATTTTTGTAAAAATAATCATACATTCCTTGCCGCTTCCGGATATGAGCAAGTTGTTACTAACAAGGAAACCTCGCGAGGTGACCACCGTTGATTTAGTTTAGGTTTCTATATAATCATCTACGCTGAAAATGATAAACCATTTTTTTTCTTTCGGCGGAAAAATGTTTTGAAGGGGTAAAAATCACCCCTAAAATTGAAATCCTATGAAGGTGATTTTTAATTTTTACATATTTCTAATCGAAATTTTCCGATACGATCTTATACGTTAACAACAACAGAAAAGTTGCGGATATACATTTTTTTCTTATTGAAAATAAGTGGCACAGGATAGTCACCACAATTTCTGTACAATCTCCACCCGGAAGAGTATACGAAATCACGAGATACGTGTCTCTACAATTTTTAAAATAACATTAACGTCCGTAAACAAAATCACAATTTCAAACTTTCCAATTGTTAAAAAATTTGGTCGAAATGGGAGGTGTTTCCAGTACGGAACTTTATCCACACTAGAGAAAGTTCACACTACGGGAAGCTACATTCCGAGCCGTGTGCCTAGAGCTGCAAAGTCAAAATATAACAGGTAGGACTAGGTCATGGAGAATAGAACCAGGAGAATAAGCTTAGAATGTTAAAGTAGAGAAGGATTTATTAATATCTAAGTGAAAAATTTCATCTGTATTCAAAATTCATCAACATAAATTGACAAATATATCGTGTGTAATCATGTGGTTATATCTGTATAAAGTTAATACAGCATAATATTTCTTATGTAAATTTGGAACTAAAATGACTTCTGTTGAACATTAACAAAAAAAAGTCATTAAAATGATTTTTTACAGTCTACTAATGACATAACGGTGTCACATATAAAACTCATTGAAAAAATTGGCAATTACTTGAATAATTCGTCACCATCCCGCTGTTACGATGAAAATTCAACTGCATTAATTCTAGAACCACTGCAAACGTAATTATTTAATCAATGAGATACAAAAATCAATAAATTCTTTTCATATAAATAAAATTGTTGATCTTTTATTACAGAATATCTGAATTCAGAAAAAATTTAACTGAAGTTTGGATAACATCAGCCGAATCTGAGAAGAACTTAAAATTAATTTTACTGAAGAATCTTACAGACATTGACGCAAAGTATCAGCTAAATACGAATAAAATAAAACATTTAATTCATAATTCAAGGTATTTACTCACCTTTCATGTAGTGTTCCTTAAATTAAACTTATGTAATCGACTGTAAGGTAATAAGAATCATTTCAGTTTGGATATAAAGACACAATACGAAAAAGTAGAGAATGACCTAAAAATTTTGACTAATGGACAGACTATAATAATAAATATAGCTGACCATATACTAGAGATAAAAAAGAAAATCGAGTATGGAAATCATCAATTATCGGCAAAAATGGATTTTTTTTTGGATTTTCAGAATGAAAAAGTTGATGCAGCTTTAACGAAAAAATTTCTTGAACTAAACAAAAATATAATTACTAATTACGATCAACTTAATGGTAATATATCTTATAAAATTGAAATAGAAACAAGTCAGGTAAAATCTAGTCTACTTCAGTTATTTTTTTTTGTCAAAAAACATATTATAATAGTCATTTTATGAACTCATTTGTTTATTTTAGATTTGGCGTCAAATTAATATTATGAGTACACAAATAATGCATAATAGCGAAGCAATATCGAAATTTAATAATACGAGTGAAGCCTTTATAAATAGAACGACAAAAATTTTCGACATTCTAACGACTAAGGTAATGATGATACATTATTATTTGTATTTGTCACAATGATACAATAATCATTTGATATTGACTCAATAGGTCGATTTGATTTTAAAAAAGATACCAGAAGTTGATGAGAAGATGAACTTTTTTCTCGGTAAACTTGCACTTTTAATGCAGGAATTCAATCAAGTGACAATTATCTTAAAAAATTCCCTTAATACCATAACTTAAAACTAAAAATAAAGTTGTTGCAATTAACGATAATTCCTATAATAATGATAAGGGAACTTCAATAGTTATTTTTAATAAACAAACACTATAATCAAATTTATGTCATTTATTAACCTATTAAAACGTACAGACTATATAATATTAACCTTCTAATATGAATAGGCGTTTCTTCTACTCCGCAACCGCTTGCACAGACAGAGAATTACGACCACCAAGAAATAGCAGGTAATTCGCACCAACTGTACTGTACTCATAACTTGCTCAAATGCCTTTCAGTACCTATAACAGGTATAAGAAATATCTAAAAAGTATCTTTTCTCATGATTTTATTATTGTATAGATAATTTAAATAATTTTTTATCGCATTGCTACGATTATTAATATTGTTATTATCATCAATATCATTAATAATTAATATATTGAAAGTCTTGTCTTTTGTATCATTGACGATACAATACATTGAAGTTAAGCGATAAAAAAAACCTTTTTTGCAGATTTCATAAAAAAATAGTGGATAATTTTATGAAGGTTCACACCATACGATTATTTGTTATTTAACTTTTATTTACTTTATTCAAAATAATTATATAAAAAAGTTTTTTATGAATTAAATGTTAAATAAAACGAATGATGAAATCTTTTATAATGGTAGTGTAAAGAATAATACAAGTGATGATTATAATATTTGATGAAATGATAATTTTAATTACTCTTTTAATAATAACAAAACTAAATAACATTTATCGAAAAAAAATTTTTTTTTGAAACTCTATTATAATAAACGGAAAAAATATTTTTTAGAAGAATTATTTATTAATTTCATGAAAAATTATCATTATAATCATTAAAAGTATTATGAAAAGTATTATTGAATGATAAAAAATGATTCACTTCTCATTTTCCTCTTCATTTGTATTTGGAAACCCAGTTTTACGACGCTTATTCCGTTCGCCGTTCCAATCTTTTACATTGTTTAGTACACTTTGTATGCTCACTTGGATTTCATTGCGTTTAGGGGGTTGATTATCAACTTTAAAGCTAGCTGACATTGCATCTGAAACATATATCATAACTCAGACAATGATTAAAAAATCATTATTATTTAATCATAAATAGTTCACTTACTTTCAAGTATAGAATATAATGTAGTATTTTTAAATACTTTTTTTCAGCAACTTGTTTAACCGTTGTGAAACGGAGCGCCAATTCTTTGGATAAAAATCTGCGGAGAATATCACCCATATTTTTCGTTATTCCTCGTTTAGTAACTATAGATCTACATATGTTTTGTATCTAGAAATAAATAACAAGAATTTAAAAGTTAAAGTCAATAATAGTAAAAAAATAAAAATAAAGTTTTTTAGAACTTACAGTTCTTTTTTTATATTTATGATTAGTTTTCAATTTTTCTTCTAGTAAAGAAAAATCATCTTCAGTTACACATGGCAATGTAAGTTTTCATTCATCGTCAGAGTCACTATTTAAAGTACTCAAATCAACAATTCCTTCGAAAAGTTTTTTTTGAAGAAGCTTTTCTATTGCCACAATTCTGGCAGTTTGAGTAATCATTTGATCTCGTAATTCATTCATTTGCAAAGATAATTTCATGAGTATCGGGTTCAAAACGTTGACGACACAAATTTCAGTACTGTCATTTGAATCGTATGACTTCACGTTCTTTGTCATATTTTGAGGTAGTTTTTCTTGCGTAAGCTCACTGGAGGAGTTGGAATTGTCTTCATATACACATTCGTCATCATATGATGTTGCTTTTGGAACTGTTGAATTTTTGCTCATCTTTGAATTATAAGAGACCTTTTTTGAATATCGAGTTTAATCACTATTTACGTTAATAATCTTTTTTGAAGAAGTTTTTGTGTTCTTTACTAAATTCTGAGCAAGTTTTTTCTGAGTAAGCTTCTGAGAGAAATTTTATTTGTCTGCCAACACATATTCATCATCATAAGATTCTTCTTGTGAATTATCAGATTGATTTGGAGAAATAATAATTTTCTTCTTGCTTTTATAATTCTGCTTGTTATATCTTTTTGGATTGACTTTTGTAGTTTGTTTTGATACAGATTGATCTGTGTCCGAAGAATCCGATATCGCCGGAAGTACTGTTTCTAAGTATGGAAATAAAGTTTGATACATTCAATCTATTGTAAAAGTATCATGCCCAAAGTTTCAATTATAATACTAAATGAAATCGATTATAATACAAACTATAAAGTCCATAGTAATCAGAAGAAAAGATGAACAGAAATTGTTGAAGAATAATTTTACTTACGTTTTTTCAAATTTTTATGTGATGTCCGAGCCTTACGATTAGAAATACTATCAGTTGAGTCACAAGCTGCAAAATGTAAATCTTTTTCCGAAGATGAAGTGTTTCAAGTTACTGCATTCAACTTATAAGCTTTTTTTCCAGCTTTAGATTTTGATTCTGCCCTGGCTTCATTATCTGTACTAAAAGCATACCGTTGCACTTTAAGCTTATCCAAAGATTCTTCGGCTTCCTCAAAAGTTTCTGTTGTAGTAAAAATTTATGTATTTTAATGAAAAAGAAAATCTATATATTGTACCAGGAATATATATTTAAACCAATTTTTAATTAGTTCTAAATAAGATATTGCTCAACTAACTTGCATTTCCTCGTATTTCTATTGCATACCCATCCCATGCTTCATTAGGTGGACCTCGATTTTTTACTAATTCATGCAATTCCACAATATTTTCTTTACTATATGGTTCAGGCATAAATGGAGTCACAAGAGAATCCAGTTCATGATTATATTTAATCCAAGATGATGAAACAATGTCTACTTGTGAGGGAGCATGTAAGAAAACTATATAAGTTTATATAAATTTTCCATCTGAAAGACAATTTTTATTTTAATCTCACATACGTGTGTACACTTATATAATATTAGTCTTGCAAATCTTTCAAATTGAATTTTAATTACTTTGATTATTATTATAAATAAATATTAATGTCCCCAGTAAAAAAAAGTAACAATGAAGGTTATAGTGCCATAAATGTTGACGCGTTGTTAATAGATTGAATTACTTCTTATTGTTTTAGAATATTTATAAAAATTTGCAATAGTACTCCCAATAATATTTTAGTTTCAAGTTCTTTAAAATTCTATGAATAAATTATCCAATTGATTAAAGAGGACAATAACTGTTAAGAATCACATAGCGTCACTTGCTTGAAGCTGAAATGGCGGCAAACGGAAGTCACATCAGAAACTACGTGAGATGAAAAAGCTCACAACACTACTTGAGTCAACTAAAATGATGTTATTTGAGAGTAAAAAAAAAGTATTGTTTGAAGTTAATAAAAAAATTTAACCATTGATTTGCATTCAGATAATTTATGAGTGGTGAAAAATTGAATTACTTTAAAATTTAACAAATTGATTATTATATAAAAGCCTTGTAGTTTTTTAACAATACATGAAGCATTGAATATATTACATGTGAAGTAAAGGCATAGTGTAAATTTTTTCTTGATGTCTATCCGAGAGATCAAAAATTGCCATTTTGTAACGAATTGCATTTAAATCGAAATTAATTTCCTGTCTCCTTCTTTTCGATACTCTCCACATTTTTAAATCCTTCGAATTGCAAGGATACATAAAAATTGGTCTTTCTTTTTCTAAAATTATGCCATGAATAGTAATTACATCAGCATTAGCACTTTTATAAATATTTCTGATTTCCACTATCGTATCATTAAATAATAAAATTAAATTATTTGGTGGTTGAGTTGTTAAAACGGCTTCGTTAAATTTTAGAGATTTTATGCGTATATCTCCCATATTATTAGACAATAATTTTCGGAGTATTTGAATGCGAGGTGGTGCTGTGACTTTTCCAATATTGTTAAAAAAAACTTCATGTAATCGTCGACATACTTGTGCTAGTGGTTTGTTTCCACAGCCAACCACTTTTTTCAATTTTCTCAATGCATCTTCGAAAGGCAATGCTGCTATTTTAGATAGAGGACATCCCATATATGTAACATCGTCTGCTAGATGCACTAAATTATGTATAGTACCAGTGAGAAATTCTTTTTCATACAAAGGTGGTGCCAATCTAACAAAATGTCTTAAATAATATTTGGCATGATTGCAATAAATAAGTGCTAAATCTCTTGAATTCAATATTCGACAAGCTGTATGAAGTAACATGAAATGTTCATAAGCACACGTAGATAATACTCGTTTAAAAATAGAAGGTCCTGCATATAGTAGCAAAAATTGAAATTCAGTTGCTTTAAATTTCTGCATATCAACTAAAGATCTTGTAGTACGTTGAAACTCTGTTGGTATTTGAGACTGCAGTAACATGAAATGTGATAACTGACGTTGAGAATTTTGACTTAATTTATAAATGGTGTTTCCAGATAACCAGTACTCCAGAAGCTTCTTCATAACTCCTAAATTCACTAAATGCATTGAATTGAGTACAAAGTCATTTATCATATCGATTGGGGGATTGACAGTAACTAAAGGACTAACACCAATATGATGAGCCGTATTTCATTGATCTCGAAATGATCTGTCTGTCCTTTTTTTACACACCCTATATCTTGGATCATGCATCTTAGTAACATAAATAGTTCTGTTCATATATCTTTCTCCTTTTACAGTGCACCTTTCGCAGGGAAAATAACCTCCATGTCCTTTTATTTGCTTTATCAAAGATCTTGCTGGTCGATCACATATGAAGCTTTTAGTTTTGAGATTATAAAATTGCTGGTTTATTGTAATTCCATTTAGATGTGATTCATTCAATTCGTCTATGAATCGTTCAAAATATCTTATTAAATTATCTCAATATTCAATATTATAACTGGCTGCATTTGTTTGAAGAAGAGTTTTCGCAGTTTTAGGTAGCTCAGAAAATTTTGTTTTTAAAATACATAGTAGAAAACTTAAACGAGTCAAAGGAATTGCTGGAGGTTCAAGAGCCCATTTAATAATGTCATCAGTAATGCTGTCAGCTCCAATATTATTATCAAAGTTTATATGTTCTTCTTCGACAGTATTTTCACTAATGTCTAACTGCTCCAAAATCGATAAATTGATGTCATCAGATAGTTCAGTGGTCGTAAGTATATTTTCATGAGGACTATTATTATTTTCAAGCATTTCAAAATTAATTAATTCGTTTTCATCTTCAGACCCCGACAACATTGATGACGATTGAATCGGTAACACATTAGATTGTTCATTGTTACTAATATTGTTAATTGCACTACCACTGGCGTCAATTTGAAGATTTATTCGATGTCGTTGAACTCTTAAACGCGTGAATTCACGAGAACGAAATTCTTGAATCAAGAGACACGTTTATTTTAGTAGTGTCTCGAGCGCCAAGTATGAATAGCGGTAACGAAGGCACTACCGTGTCTCTATTCCGCTCAAATTAGCACTTTTGAGGTTATGCTCCTTTAAATTTCTAATTTCTCTGCAATAATGACATAAACTTTATTAAAA